GCTGTACATTAGAATCACCTGGAGGGCCATGTTTTTTGAAAGGTCCTTGGGAGATTCCAATGTGTAATCAGGGAAGAGAACAATATTCATGCTTTTATGGCATCTAGGACCTCTCCGTATTAAGCCACACCCTACTTAAGTGTGGATATATTTTTTCAGCATATTATGGGGGTACAAATGTTGAGGTTACATATATTTCCCATGCCCCCTTCTCCCTTCCCACCTGCCCAATATATGATAAATGTTATTCCTATATGTCCACTTAGGTGTTGATCAGTTAATACCAATTTGCTGGTGAGTACATGTGGTGCTTGTTTTTCCATTCTTGAGATACATCACTTAGTAGAATGGGTTCCAGCTCTATCCAGGAAAATACAAGAGGTGCTATATCACCATTGTTTCTTAAAGCTGAATAGGACTCCGTGGTATACATATATTGCATTTTATTAATCCATTCATGTATTGATGGGCACCTGGGTTGTTAAGTGTGGATACATTTTAAATGCACTATCTTTACAACTAGACTTTAAGAGAGTTTATTTTGCTACTATTGTATCACAGTACCTAACATGATGCCTGGATTATAATAACTGTTCAGTACATATTTATTGAATAAATACATGAATAATTATAAGGCAACATTTGTTTTAACAGTGACTGATTATTTTATAAGTAATGCATACATTATGAGAGGAAAGTTTTAGCACAGGGCATTATTACTCAGAGAAAACTTTAAAAAAATGCTGAATCCTTGCCTGGGCCTGGAAGGCAGCAAGAAATTTTACTTATGGAAGAGAGAAACAGCAGTAGCAGAAATTGAAAAGCCTGATGCTAATCACTTTGCAGGATGAGAGCAAAATTACTTTTAAAAAGTATCTGGACTGCCCCTTGCATTCATGCCAGAATATCTGAATCTGAAATTTTATAGGAATTTTAGGACATATTAAAAGATAAATGGGTTAGAAAAGAAAATTTGGGAACATAAAGAAATGAAAGAGATAGCTAGGAGCCAGCAAATATCCCTAGGTAACAAGTAACATTCACTAACTTAACTTCATTTTATGGGAATGTTTCTAGTTTGGGAGATTAGAGGAAAGTAAATTAATGAGTATTGATTTGCATCAGAAATTATACATCATATCTTCATTGATAAGATTAAGATTGTGGATTAAACCATGGTACAGTTAAGACAAGTCATATCTCGCTGAAAGTTTCATATCTTGTTTGTAGGATAATAATAACATGCAGTCAAAATTGCCCTTGAAATTGTTTTTAATGTCTTGGTAAGAAAACGCAGCCAGTTTTTCCTCCAGCGATGGAACTAATCATTTTTTTCTATGATGGAACATTCTATAAAGTAGTTTGGCTCATGTTTAGGAACTATATTGTGTATCAAAAAAAATAAATCCCCAATCTTTAAAAACTAGAATCCCACCCACCTTGACAAAATGATCAAACTAAAAAGTACATGAAAACTAGGAATCCTGTGAGGATTGAAATCACAAGGCACACATCAATTAAATAGAATGAATGGGAGAATAGCCTCCATTCTATCCTTCTCACTATCTTTCTCAATTCTCACAGCTCTTATTTTTATTGTGTGGAGATTATATCATACGATTCATGTAAATTAAATTCATCTCTGATGAAATGCAACTATGGCCATCTGATATATATCTACCTGAGAAGAAGCATACCTGGGATTCTATTCTTGTTTTTGCACAGTTTTCATGAATGGTTTGGATTAACAAATTCAGAAGGAAGCATATTCATTGTCTATAATAACATAAAGCTTGGAGGAAAGCTAATATTTTGGACTATAGAGTCAATATGCAGACAGATTTTGACAATCTAGAATTGTGGCTGCAAATGAAGATGGCATTTAACAGAGCCAAATATAAAGTTGTAGATTTAGGTCCCACACATTAGTTCGTTCAGAGTGGTAAATACTTAAATTTATATTAAAAATACCACCTGTTGAATATGAATTAAAAAGAGCTATTGCAGTGAGAACTGTATGTTAGGACAATAATAATAATCTAGAGGTTAATCAAAAACAACTTCACAGTAGGAAAGGCATTTTTAGATTTTATTTTTAATAATACATTTAGAAAAATGATGACAAGATAGAAATAAAAGGTAGGAATAAAAATATCTGAATCCCCGTGTGTGTGTGTCTGTCTCTCTCTCTCTCTCTCTCACACACACACACACATACACACACACACAGTTTATTTCAAACTCTCAAAATATTTTAAAAAAACACAATTTTAGCGAAATGTATTACTGACTGCCTCAATCTCATTTATTAAAGTAAATGGATGTGCCTGAGGACAACTTGGAGCTCCTTGAAAGAAGTTTAAGAGTTAGTAGATGTTATCATTGTTTCATGTGATTTAGATGAAACAAAACAAAGAACTTTTTATGTGGAGAAATGAAATGGCTTCTCAGGAAGGATCACGGACTCATCTTATAATGGTACGCTATAAATGCAACCAACTTGTCTGAATTCTCTCTCAGTGAAATACTTCTTTAGTACTTTATAGAATCCTAGAATGAAAGTATTTTTGCAAATTTGCTAATACACGTAATAGTGATGTTTTAAAACATGTCTTCCAAATAGTCATTTATCTAGTCACCTAGTCACTATTTATTTAAACACAGATTTGAGAGGCAAACTCTTAAAAGTTGGAAAAGTTCTGGTGACTCAAATTGACTTTTTTATCTGTGAATTTTAATATTGATCTTTTCCTGGGATAGCGATATGCAGTTCAATACTTAAAATGCTGGACAGTGGCAGCGAGCTACAGCTCTCAATCAGCCATGATATCACGAAGGGAAACATCAGATACTCAGTGTACTGTGTTCCCAGATGATTTTCCCCACTGGGAGTTAATGAAAGTGTTCTAAAGGCCAGGCACGGTGGCTCACGCCTGTAATCCTAGCACCCCGGGAGGCCGAGATGGGAGGATCACTGGAGGTCAGGAGTTTGAGACCAGCCTGAGCAAAAGCGAGACCCTGTCTCTACTAAAAATAGAAAGAAATTATCTCGACAACTAAAAATATATAGATAAAATTAGCTGGGCATGGTGGCACATGCCTGTAGTCCCAGCTACTCGGGAGGCTGAGGCAGGAGGATTGCTTGAGCCCAGGAGTTTGAGGTTGCTGTGAGCTAGGCTGATGCCATGGCACTCTAGCCTGGGGAACAGAGTGAGACTCTGTCTCAAAAAATAAAATAAAAAAAAAATAAATAAAATAAAATAAAATAAAAGTATTCTAAGAACATTTAAGGTAGACTAAGCTAAGCTATGATGCTTGCTGGGTTAGGTATATTAAATGTATTTCAACTTATGATATTTTCAACTTATCATGTTTTTACAGGGACGTAGTCTCGTTGTAAGTCAAGATGCATCGGAACACTATAGAGTATCGGTGGTTTACCCTATGATCATGTGGCTTACTGAGATCTGCAGGCTCCCAAGAGAGTACAGTACTTCATATCCCTAGCCCAGGTAAATATCAAAATTGAAACTTCGGGGTACAGTTTCTACTGAACGCATATCACTTGCACACCATTGTAAAGTCTTAAAATTTTAAGTCAAACCAAGGCAAGGGGGGACCATCTGTGTTCTACTTTTACCCACTTCTAGCAACCTCCATTCCTAGCTTTCTAACTATTATGAGTTTTTACCTAGCCTATCCAAACAGCTTCCTCACTAGTCTTTCTTCCCTCTTGCTCCGCTAGAATCTGTTTTTCACTTAACTGTCTGAAGGATCCTTTAAAACATAGCCAGATAACGTCAGTACTATGCTCCAACCCCTGCAGAGGCTGGCCACCACTTAGCCTTGGAGGCCCAACCCAATCTGACCCCCAGTTCTCTCTGCAAATACACCTCCTACCAAATCTCTGGGTCATTCTCTCCTCTCCAGCCTCCCTTGTTATTCCTCTAATATACACCAGGCAGAGCTTTTGAGTGGCTGCCACCCTGGCCTGAGACATCTTCCCTCACTTACCCACTTGACTTGTTCCTTCACTTCCTTCAAGTCTGTGCTCAATTGTCACTGCCTCAAAAAGGGATTCCTAAACACCTTTTCCAAATCAACACACTTTCACTCTTTATCCTCTTGCTCTTTGTTTTCTTCACAGAAAAACCTGACACTATTTTTCTGCTTGCTCTCATATTTTTATTCTCCTTTAGATGCAAATGCAACAGAAACAGAGATTTTTTCCCCCCTTTGGTCCTCTCCCCACTGCCTAGAAAAAGTGTTGAATAGACCTCAAGAGAGACTCAAAATGGATATTTATGGAATTTAAAAATTAATAAATGATTTCTAATCTTTAGAAAGTCACATGCTTCCCTTGTATTCTCATTTGTCCCTTTCACAGTTTCTCAAAAGAACTCCATCCACTAGATCATCCATGTCTAAGTCTTACCTACAATGCACCTTCCTTGGGGAGTATGGCTTACTCCGTGCAGGGCTAACTACCCTTTACACACAGTGCTGAGGTCAGGCAGGGGCTTCCTCTCCCATGCTTCCCAACTGAAATGCCATCTCTCCCCTGCATCATTATTGGTCCAACCAACCAAGAGACATGTGCTCTGGGATCCCACCCATTGTTTACCCTCCAAGAACTGCTGACTGCCTAACCTGTTTTTAAATGGAAATCATGCATATCCAAAACTTGCTACTGAGAGTGGAGTATGGCTCAGAAAAAAAAAGAGATGCATTGTATTTTTCCCCCAAGAAGAAGTCACATATTTCTCTCATCTTTTTCTGTACCAGATATGGCAGAGCCGTTCAGTAGAAATATAACACAAGCCACAAATATAAGTAAGCTACATAGGTCATTTAAAAACTTATAGGAGTTGCATTTAAAAAATTAAAAAGAAACAGAGAATTCATAATAATATATTTTATTTAACAAAAAAAGATCTAATACATTATGAGATCAACATGTAACCATATGATGATAAAAATCCTTGTATAAACTATGGGGCGTTGTAACAGTCTGGCCACATCATGAATCTTCCAGGGTACTAAACTGAAGCAGTGGTCATTCCCACACAGATTGTTACAAAACTGTGGTTCTCAAGGAGGGGCTGGCAGAGTGAGGGAATGAGGAGTGGGAGTCAAAATCATTTCAGAGAACTTTCGAAATGTGCCTGTAGAGAGAAAAAGCATGTGTGATCTGAAAAAACTCCCCTGACAACGTATAAGTCACCCCCATTTCTTTCCCGATTTAAGAACCAGAGTGGAAAAGAGAATCTTTCTGATGGGAGTGGAGAACTATTATAATAAAGATTTTTCCACTTCCAGCACTCAAAGATTACATGATTTAGAAGCTTGGCATCCTCCCAGCTTTCTCCGAAACTATCCCACATTATGTAACACTCATTTTTCCAAATAGAGGTGAAAGATGACATCCTTAATGTCCATTTTAGCTAAATACATCCCTTTTGGCCCAGTGTGTAGAACATATCTAGATTAATGATCGAAGGCTTCTAACTATGAAACAAATCACTGCTACCTTTCCTCTAACCACTACCTCTCTCTGCTGGCTTTTCTCTCGTACATGGCTTTTCACAGGACAACATGTCTGGACTTCAACTTTTAACCTCTTTGAGTTGAAGTGGATGAGGTGGCATGTTAGAACAAAAAGTCATGGAGAAAGCCAAAATTAAATATCAAAGAATAGGCATGGCTTTGGGAGACAATTCCAACTTGTATTTGCTTTCCCACGCCATTTTATATCCCATGGTGGAAGTTGTCATGAGTAGGAAGTATTTTAGTAAGTTGACCAATGGCCTGTGATTTCATATATTGGCATCCTCTTGATTCTGCTCTGTGACTTTATCCCTCTCTCTGTGGTTTACATTGTAACAACAGTAATCTATACATTTCGGGGTTGTTGTGTAAAGATGCAACAATTTATGTAAATGAAGGCTTTCAAAATGCTTTTGAAAAAATAATTTAAAAATCACCAAAAGGCTTTGTTTTTAATTGTCAAATGCTTTCTCATTTTCAGATGACAAGCTCTGTGACAGATACTCGATGTTCCTGAGAGTTTTTTTATAATATGCAAACTCTTTGATTTGAAGATTAAGAGTTTAGTGGCACACAATGGCCTCTGTGGCTTTAAATGCCTTAATTATTTCAAATACAAATTTAAAATTCAGACACCTAGTGTTACTTAAATGCACCCAGGTTTTTGTGGTTTAATAATAACATCTGTTTTGGTTTTTCAACCACAAAAGTGCGTTTAATCTGTTCTTCCTTTAGTTGAACTTTTCACATCTGCTTCGGCTCGGTTCCCATAAGCTAAAGACCAGATCTTTTCCAAAAGTAGGAAGTCTACCTGTACAACTGTTGTTCTAGCTCAAAAGATCTGTTTTTAATACCAGCTGAAGATTTCAAAAGAATAACAAAAATAAACTCTTTACCCAGAATGCACTTCTTATGCTTTTTGGCTTCCGTATCATAGTGTGGTCATTTTATGAATGCAATGCTGCCTGGAAATTTTAAATTAAAACAGTGAATTGTCAGATCACACACACCCAGGTAGTCTCCCTACCCCCTAAGATTTTTATTCATGGAAAAAGAGTGCATTCTATTAAGTTAATTATTCGTGAAGAAGTTATACCAAGGATGGACAATGTTTTCAAGACCACAGTGATTTGTTTTGGACACATACCTAATGCTTATCTGAATCCCATGGGTCCTGAGAAGTAGGCCGGAAAATGTTGCAAGGACATTACTTCACAGATTTTCCACAATTGTTTGCTGCCTCAGAGGCTTCAGCTCTTCTGCTCCTGTTTATAACCAATCCTAAGAGACATTTCTAAAATCAGAGACTCTGAAACCAAATTCTTATAAGCGTCTTTGAAAAACAACCAAGGTGCTAAGAAGAAACAAATTTTTCTTTACTTATGAATTTGGTAGAGAAAGTTATTGAACAGATGAGCGCCTGGGTTAGATATGTGTTAATTGGTTTTCTCAAGTGGAAGAATTAACTCTCTTTTCCAGCATTTACATGAGATTGAACAAAGCTGCATATTCATTCTTTATTTGGACAAGATATAATTGATATCAAGTTAGTCTAATTATTTTATTTTAGAAAGTTATTTTGAATATGTGAGATGCACATAATTATATATTTTTCCTGACACATGATTATGTAATTATGTCTGGTCCTGTTTACAGGACAGCGTAACACAGATACTGCAATTAGTAGGTGTTCAACCCATGTTTGGTGAATGAGGCCTAATGAGGCAATATAATGGGCAAAGAGTACCTTTGTCAATGCAAACAAGATGACTCCATGATTTGAATAATCTCCCAGTGCCTTACGTAAATAGGAGCTGTCGGCGGGGATGATTCAACTTAATTTTAAAAAACTTAATAGATTGCATGACATGTGCAAGTCACTATGATAGTCACAATGAGAAATACAAGTCACAATGAGTAGGAGTTTTCCAAGGCTGAAGTATAAGTATGCAAATTATGAAAAAGTGCCTTAAGAAAAATAGCAAAACACTGCTATGGCAAATCTAGTGTTTGAGACAGGCCTTAAAAGAAAAGTCATCTAAATTTGGAGAGTTTTGAATGAAAAGTGAGAAAGAAAGTGATTTGGTAAGAGAGCAAAAGATTTCAGGTGTAGAGAACAGATTTAGGAAAAGTAGGGAATTTCAAACAGGCTAGTTTTGAGCACAAGCTGATAGAGGATTAGACAAAGATAAAGATAAAAGAGTAGGAGGGTGGCATGCTATGGAATACTTTAAATGTTGTGCCAAGCAGTGTGTGCTTAATACAGTAGGAAATTAGAATTGGAATCTTTGATTTAGGTTTTCTCACTGTAGACTCAAATATTTACCACAAATTTTCACTCATTTGTCAGCATAGACAGAACCAAAGAATCACCTTTCTTTTCCAAACTTTGTCAAATAGCTTTGCATTGTTGTTAATTGCATTTTTTATTTAAAAGACAATCTGACAGGTTGTGTATACAGGTTGGGGGGGGGTGGTCCTGTCAAATGTTCTGAACCTTACATTCACTAATGGGCTTGAAGATATAGTAGAAATGGTTCTTTTAAAGTTCATGCAGAAGAAGCACACATCTTCTGGAAAAGACAAGTAAAATGTGAGTAGAAAAACCATTTGTGAAACTTCTTGCACCCAAATACTCAAAATTAAATACTTTCAAGACCTGTTGGAATTTGTAAGAAGTTTCCAGACATGGACCACTGATCAAATGACAGTTAACAAGATTTTTTTAAATGACAAGAAGGAAAAGGACTATGTCACAAAATGACAAAAACTTCTCTTGTATGATTTTGGATCTAAGCGTTTATTTATAACAGTTTTTGTCATTTTGTTGAGAGTCATAAAAGCAACTGTATAAATCTTAATCGAGAAAAGCTCCATGCTCAAATTCTTCAATGGTTTAAAATAAGAGTGATGAGATATTGAAAAATATAGAATTTTGGGGGAATTTTTTTTCTGATATATGATAATAGTGCATAGATAGAGAAGGGATTCAGGGATGTATAAATCTAGATATGTGTGTGTGCGTTTGCATGTACACATATACATACACACAGAGGAAAACTGCATTAATGTTTCTACCACTTTGAGATTAAATTAAATGATAAGGGTCATACCCTCATTAAATCATTTATTTATTTAAATTTTACTGGGACATGACTCTTTGAATGGAATCTGGAATAGAAAGGTAAAAAGAATCAATATGTCCCAATGCCACAAACCAAGTTACTGTTGTTATCCCTGTCTTTTCCACTGCAACCTGACTTGCTTCCAATATTATCTCTTATCTACTGAGGAATATAAAGCACAATTCATGACCTCATCCTCTTTTCCTTTCCCATGTCCAACCCAACATAATGTCTCACACTTTTACTCATGATGTATTTTTCAATCCCAACTCTATCACCAGTTCTATCACACTCATCCAAGCCACCAGCATGTCGTATGTAGACGACTGCAATGGCAAGTTATCTGATTCATGTGCCCTTCCCCCACCCTTCTCCAATTCATTTTTCAGGCAGCAGGCACATTGATGTGACTTTGTCACACACACCCCTCCCCCAGCTGTCTCTATCCCTTAGCCATTGCTCTTAGAATTTTGCTCACTGTTGTACTTCTAGCATTTAGCTAAGAACAGGACAGAATTCAGTTTAATCACAATACTCAGATGGGAAGAAAGACTAATAAACAAAACAGGATAAATGGCGTAAATGGAAACATGCAGAAAGTGGTTACTCTGCTCTTACTCCCAGGGGCAACTAAGTTTCACATGAACAACAATAACAAAAAAATCATTCTCTTCCACAAGGCAATATTATCTTTGCTTCTTTACAGGGTTCCCATGATGACTCATTGCTTTGGTATTCTGGAGTTGGTGGATATGATTCAGAACATGAGAAACCTAATTCTTTAGAAGTCAAAAGGAAGTTTTGAAAATGTAATTCGTAAAGAAAAGTGTTTCCCAAATATTTTTATAGGCTTCCTTAAAAATCTTCCTTATTTTGAATGTCCCAGTAATTCCGGAAGAACCCTATGTTATTACCCAAGATTTGAAGTAGGGTCGCTATTGAGGAAGCTACCTGGACTCAATTCTTAACTCTAATCCAGAATTCCACCATATGTTTTCCCTTCTCATAAAGGATTAACTAATCTGTGAGAATCATAAGGCTTTTAACAAGGAAGAAATGGATAAAAAAATCACTTTATGCCTTATTAAAGAAATCCCCCTGCTCCTCAGAAGCAGTTTTCAGCATCTTATTAGTGGCATTTGATCTGACTGACATATTGACCAGTAATTGGAACAGAAGATGGATCTTTTCCACTTAGATCACAAAGGGAATATAAATCTGTGGCTGTAAATTCAAGAGGGACAATTTCCAAAGAATTTCTTTAGAATAAACCCCTCTTACTCTAAAACAGCCTTGGAAGTTGTCTTAGTTACATAGCTGGCTTTTTAAATAAATCAGTGCAAAATAGGTTTACCTGTTGTTTTATTTGTATTTGCAAATAGACAAAAATAGAATTGATCTTAAAGTAAAAGTAACTTTAAATGCTCACCCTCTAGTTATATCCGTAGAAAATACTATATTAGTAGCCAAAACATTATTGGCTACTGTTCTATTATTGTTTAGCTTGTGTTTATGCTTTTTCTTTTTTGTTATTTTACACTACTCACACATTAACATTAATTGGTTTCAGTACCGTATTTTTATTGATCAACTTCTCCTGAAGTTGGAATGATACAGATATCTTTATTATAAAATTTCTGAAATAAATAGGGAAATAACTCTGACTTTAAAACAATGATAATAAATATTTTACCATTTCATAATTATGAGAAACATTGAGCTAGAAACCAGCCAAATATCTACAGAACATACTCAAATTATTTCATTTGTAACTATACTATTAAAGTCTCAGTGTCTAGATCACTGCCAATATTAATTACTGACTTGTAATTTTGGTTTTGTTTTCAGTGTTTATAAAATAAGGAAAATAATTGATTGCAGGTATATAATAGAAATATAATATATATAATATTTTTATAATTTTTTATTATTTTAGTATCTATTATATATAATATATATAATAGAATGCATAGATGCATTTTGAACATCTTTTCTTTTGCCTAATACTTATTCAATTTAAGAAAAGTCACATTTTTTTCAGAAGATTATGGGGGTACAGATATTATGTTTACATAGATTGCTTTTGTACTGCTTGAGTCAAAGTAATAAGTGTGCCAATCACCCAGATAGTGTGCATTGTATCCATTAGGTATGATTTCATCCAACCCCTCCTTCTCCTTCCCAACTGCATGATTTCTGTTGAGTTATACTTCCATCTGTGCACATGAGTGCTGATGGGTTAGTTCCAAATTTAATAGTGAATACATGTGGTGTTAGTATTGCCATTATTGTGATGCTTCACTTAGGAGAAAGGTCCCCAGTTCTATCCAGATTGTGGCAAAAGATAATAATTCAATTTTATGGCTAAGTAGTACTCCATGGTATACATATACTATACTTTATTAATCCACTCATGAATTGATGGGCACTTGAGTTGATTTCACATATTTGCTATTGTGAATTGTGCTGTAATAAACATTACAAGTGCAAGTGTCTTTTTAATAAAATGACTTTCTTTTTCCTTTGGTTAAACACCCAGGAGTGTGATTGCTGGATCAAATAGTAGGGCTACTTTTAGTTCTTTGAGGAATCTTCACACTATTTTCTATAAAGGTTGCACTAGTTTGCAGTCCCAGCAACAGTGTATAAGTGTTCTCTTCTCTCTGCATCCATGCCAAGATCTATTGTTTGGGGACTTTTTTATAAAAGCCATTCTCAGTAGGGTTAGGTGATATCTCATTGTGGTTTTGATTTGCATTTCTCTGATGATTAGTGACATTGAGCATTTTTTTCATGTTTATTGGCCATTAGTCTATATTCTTTTAAAAAGCTTCTGTTCATGTATTGTGCCCATATTTTAAAGGGGTTGTTTGTTTTTTTTTTCTTGCAGATATGCTGGAGTTCTTTATAGATTCTAGTTATTAGGCCTTTATGAGATGTATAATATGTGAATATTTTCTCCCATTCTGTAGGATGTCTATTTGTTCTGTTGATTGTTTCCTTGGCTGTGCAGAAGCCTTTTAATTTAATCAAATCCCATTTATTTATTTTTGTTGTTGCTGTGATTGCCCTTGTAGTCTTCTTCATAAATTTTTTGCCTAGGCCAATATGTAGAAGAGTTTTTCCAACGTTTTCTTCTAGAATTTTTATGGTTTC